ACTCAGTGTCAAACGACGGTGTTTTTTGACCTTTGCGTGAGAGAGACTCGTGAAGCACACAGTCACACACACACCAAGACGACTCACGGCTTGGGTAATACTCTATATCTATAATGACGAGTTTAGTTTAATATCTCGTGAAGTGTTCTGGATCATGACGTGTCTAGTAATGTACAGGATATTTCTTTCTTTATATGAGCCAAAACCTTCCTTAACAATGGTGAATAACTTGAGGGAAGGAATAACTTTTTTTTTTCATTTATTTATACATGCAGTCACACAGTAGTGGATCGTAAATATAGCCTGAGTGAGGTGTGCAGGGGAGGGAGGGAGAGAGACTTCATCGTATATACTCCCTCCTCACCACAACATTTTTCATCAGACATGAGATGGTATTATGGTCCTAACCACCTGATAACTACCTCCGTGCCTATAATTAGCTTGCATAATCGCCCGCTTGTTGGAATAACCACAGTACGGAGGGACAGCGCACCGATACTACGACGCCATGGGACTGGAGGACTCCCCTGTCGCATCACCCTGAAGGAGGCGAGTGTGTAAGGCGGACGTCCAGCCTCCTGTGTGTGTGTGTCGCCTCCAGCAGTGTGTATTCCCCTGGAGGAGGTTGTCCCCAGGTCCGGTGTAGTGAGGTTGGCCTACATAATCCTCTTGTAGTTTCCGCTGGTTAGGGTTTAATTGAGCTGTGTGTTGTTTTAAATTTGAGGAGGCCCCGGGATTATTATTACACAGCAGATTGGGTTGTTAGGGGCGGAGGTTGGGGAGCAAATGACTATATTAGTCAACTTTGTGGTGAGTTGTTTACCGCCTTCACCCACTCTTATTTTTTATCGCATTTGTCGAGGCGGGAGACTGGTGTATAATTTGGAATACTTTGTGGATTTAGAACAAGCGCATAATTGTGTTAATGTCTGGGTTTCTCTGCCACGCATTTCCATTACAAAGTGAAATGGCCTCTCAAGCATATAAAATAACACACCAAAACAAACTCCTTAAACTAATATGAATAAACCACTTGTACACGACTCGCACGCCCCTCTCGCCCTCAACCTGACACAACCATAACAGAGACACACACACAGACACGTGAAGCTTAGAGAAGAGTTCACCAAAATCTTCAAGAAAAGCCAAAAAAAAGGGGGGAAGGGGGCGGGGGAGGGGGGGATCGTGTAGCAGGTTAGGTCGTAATAACAGGTTGGCGGCAGGGAGTCTGACGTGTTAATCAAGCCTAGGAGCTGTCCAGGGCACGAAGGGGGGGATGACACACTCCTGAGGGTGGGGTGAGGGGGGAAGGGTGAGGGGAAAGGAGGAAGGAGTGGGGGAGGGGGAGAGAGAGACTAAAGAAGACGTATCATGTTGAGAAGAATTAGGCAGAAGAGATGCGGGATTATGAACGTCTGCAGCAAAATGGAAGGAACATGACAGATATTTTTTTGTTTACCTCTTCTGACTTATATTGATAAAGAAACGTCATGGATACTACTACTACTACTACCACTACTACCACTAGAACTACTACGACTACTACTACTACAACTACCACTAATAATAATAATAATAATAATCATAATAATAAACGAAATAACTCCATAATAATACACAAAAACAAAAGCACATCAGGAAATCTATAGATGTTATAGATAGATAAAGATAAAACATTTAAACCTCCTTAATAACAGCTGGTCCTTGGAGTCCTACACACACACACACACAAACACACACTACACACACACACACACACACACACACACACGAGGTTGAATGTGTATATGGGTGTGTAAGTAACTGTGACTATGTTTGTATTACATATATAAGTATTTCCTTAGTTTATTCATATATGTGTACGTATACATAACGTCATTAATTCACAGATAAGAATTCATACACCCTCATCACAGTTGTATATGTTTGTATGTGTATAATAATGACGTTTATACATCGAAATATACACATAGTTGTAGATAATAGCAAATATGTGTAATAATATGTATTAAAAAGTATTTACATATTGAGGAAGAGTTGAGGTGTAGGAGTGGGTGAGTACATGGGAGCCTTCAGCCTCACGAATACCTGATATTGAGAGAGACTCATCCCAGGAGCTCATTAAAATTTGTGTTACCTGCGTGATTCTTATTTCCTGTACGTCATCTACCTGTTATTTCTTCTTGTTATTCTACCTGTACGTCAACTCATTGTACCTGTTCGTCAACTTATTCTACCTGTACGTTAACTCACTCTTCATGTGTGTGTGTGTGTGTGTGTTCTCATGGTCTCTAATTCTCCTTGTCATTGCTTGTGTGTGACAGCTGTTACTCCTCTCTCTCCCACTCTCCCTCCCACTTCCAGCCACCTACCTTCCCTCCTTCCAATCAATCTCGCACCCACCTTCCTTCCCTCCCTCTTCCTTCACCCTCCCAACTACCCTCCTTCCTCCCACGTACCAACCCTTTTCCTCCCTCCTTCTTCCTCCCTACCCTTCTCCTTTCCTCATCCTCCCTCCCACCTTCTCTCCCATCCTTCTCCTCCCACCCCTTTCCTCCCTCCCTATCTGTATCTCGTCCCTTTCTCATAATTGATACCGACGATCGATCGCAGTAGATATATGTGAACCCTGCGTCTCCATTATCAAGATTTATCGCTTCCGTTCTGGTACTACACGACTCAAAGGCACCTCGGTATTGACTCCTTCAGCGGTGACATGTGTTGTAGTGTGTTGGCGAAACATTTACTACGTGTTGAATATGTGCTGTGATGTGTAAAAGATGTGTTGAAATAATTGATGTTTGTAATGTTATATACAACGTTAAGTGTGTGCAATACATATGAGATAGTTTAATGTAATCAATGCACACACGGTATATAAGGTTTAACGTGTGCGATATTATGATATTTAAAAGACGTGTATGTGCAATGTTCTTTGCAATGATCAGTATGTGTCTGAACACTGCAATATGTATCAGGTAGCTTAATGTGCTCGATACACGCACACACACACACACACACACACACACACACACACACACACACACACACACACACACCTAATGCAATGCTCAACACGTGCAACTTATCATATTGAAAAGAGGTGTTTGATCAATTGATATGTGCCTTATTCTGTGCAATGTTCAATATGTGCCTAAACTCTACAATGTATACACAATATATCATAAAGCTTAATGTGTTCACTACACATATATAAACACACACACACAGACTCAACAGTACCCCGACAATGACGAAGGTGGTTTTGCTGAGGCTGCCACATGAGATTTACGATCCAGGACCCCGGTATTCTTAAAGCCAGGGTCCAGATTCTCAAAGATTCGTTCGTTAAATGTCTTCGTTTTTTTTCCCTTGGCTTAAGAACGCCCTGATGTATATCGTTACAGTTACGATAGTCTCTCGGTGCAGTTTTGACGTCATGTTGGTTGGTATCGTAATTTATTTTAGTTGGTGTGAGGTAGTTAGCTGGGTTTTCATATCTCCGTTTTAGGGGGAAAAGGTACGATTTTTTTTTATAGTCCTCACTTTAAGATTCGGATTCAAGGATTCGACACCAAGGACTCGGGTACAAGGATTCGACACTTAGGACCCGAGTTCAAGGAGTCGACACCATGGATCCGGGTTCAAGGATTTGACACCAAAAACTCGGGTTCAAGGATTCGTCTCCAAGGATCCGGGTTCAAGGATTCGACACCAAGAATCCGACCCCAAAGATCCGCCCAGAGTTTGTCTTAAGTAAATCAAAATCAAACCCTGGGGTTGGTGTTCAGGCAGTATATTACTTGTGATTATGAGCACAGGTCAAATTATACACTTACGCTGTTTTACCTTCAATTATACACCTGTTTTGGGTATATTATGACTTTTTAATGTCTGGACTAAAGTGGATGACTAAGGATTTGAGGCTGGACTTGTAAACTTGTTAGACATTAGCGAGATGAAGGATACACTTGGGGGGGGGGGTGAGAGAGAGATTGGTGAGTGTGAGGAAGTGAGACAGAGAGAGAGAGAGAGAGGTGGTGTCAGGCAGGTGGTATAAAACAGGTGTTCAGAGCTGCAGGTGGTATCAGACAGGTGTTAAGAGCTGCAGGTGGTATAAAACAGGTGTTCAGAGCTGCAGGTGATATCAGACAGGTGTTCAAAGGTGCAGGTAACATTATAAATCAAATGAAAGCGATGGAGAAATTCATTATTCATGACCGTAAAACAACTGGGCGGAACGAGAGAGAGAGAGAGAGAGAGAGAGAGAGAGAGAAATATAGTGACTTTTTTTTCCCTAATTAAAACAGTCAGTTGTAAAAATTTCTTGTAGTGAAAGTGACTCATGAGGTTTTGAGACTACACATAACAAGCCACCGAGTCTCCAGGGACATATTGACAATTATAAGACTTGTTTATATAGACGAGTACAAATTATTACATTACCGAGAAAAATGATTAGAGTTGAACTTAAAGGAAATAGTCTTTAGAAAATTTGTCATAACCTGCCAAGAATATTTTATTTTTATTTAAAATTATTATTGGACATATTCATTAGTATTTTATGTATAGTATGTATATATCTTAATTATATACTATTACACCTGTGTATATTAGTTAATGAATTAGCGGTACAATAATTTTCGCTTCAAAACAGTGTTGCTTTGTTATACATACGTTAATGTAATTTATTATTATTATTATTTAATAGGAGCAGCCATGATAAAATAGATACTGTTCTTGTTTCTTAGTTACGATAGAATTAACGTTTACGAAATATCCAGTGGCGAGAAAGTGTGTCGTTTTAACCCATTTCCTCTCATTAACGAGGAATTACTTTACAATCTCTTAAGTTTACGAGAAATAAAATGATCCTGTGTTATGTTTCTCTGTAATATGACTGGTTGGTTACAAGTCGTGTGATCTTGTAACGATATAACTGTAATTTAAAAGATTCTGTGTTATTATGTATAAGTGATACTGAGACTTTTGTGTTGCAGGTGAAGGTGTGGTTCCAGAATCGGAGGACCAAGCACAAGAGGGTACAGCAGGAGGAGGAGCAGCAGGCTGGAGGAGGAGGACCGAAGAAGGATGACTCGAGCGGCAATGCTGACGGTGGCAAGGGCGACTCTGGTAAAGCCGACGACAAGGACGACCTCTCCATGATCGAGTACGACGAGGACGACGTGATGAGTGACGAGGAATGTGACCCCCGAGGCCAGGAGGGCAGTGCGCAGTCCTAGAACCTGACGCTGATCACATTGCGCAGTCCTAGAACCTGACGCTGATCACATTGCGCAGTCCTATAGAACCCAATGTTCGTCTGGGCTAGAAAACCAGCCTGGCGCTTACCATATGCGCACTCCTTGAATCTGACAATTACTTTCTGCGCAGTGCAAGAACTCGAAGTAAGCCAAGACTAAAAGGAGGCATCGAGCACGTCCAATTAAAACCTATCACTGACCATCACTCAGGTCAGGCAGGTGACAAGAGAGAGACAACACATGGAAAACAAGGATGAAACATAACGTATTTTCCACAGTGTTGAAAGAAGAAAAACCCCGATGAAAAATGTTAAAATATCTTGATCAAAGGAAATGAAAAGTGTAAAAATGTTCTCTCTCTATTGATAAAGAAATCCTGAATATTATAGAGTGTGTGAAGTGAATAAAAAAAACCCGGAGTAATAGTGAGGAGAGCAACGCTAAGTTACCGGACGAAAAAAGTGTTATACTTCCCTAGAAAACAAAAGAAAAACTCATTCGTCTTTTTCTCCCTCCCGCCACATTCTTATGATGATTCTTAATACATAAACAAGTGAATGTCTGGGAATAAGGGAGGAATCTGATAATAAAGAGAGAGAGAGAGAAACCAAGACAATAATAAACAATGACTAGTTAGTGAATTTTCAAGCTGGAGATTATTGTTATATGATATACAGCCTTGAGATATATTGATATAGAGATGTCCAAAATTAAATAATAGACGAAATAGGTATATGTAAGAAAGTGTGTGTGTGTGTGTGGGTGTGTGTGTGTGTGTGTGTGTGTGTGTGTGTGTGTGTGTGTGTGTGTGTGTGTGTTATGTAACTCTTCAAGGATAAAGAGATCAAGTGTCAGATTCCAGTTGTGAAAAATAATTGATCAAAAAAAAATTCACTGAAAATTTAACACATTCCCAAACGCCTTATAATGTAGTAGTGGTCGTAGATGAGTAGTGAAGCATGATCAGAGACAGACAGACAGACAGACAGACAGAGAGACAGACAGACAGAGAGAAAATCTTACTCTAGATGAGGATTAGATAAAGGAATGTCACATCAGGGTTTTAAGAGATCTGGGTGACCGTGATACTGTAAAACCTGTAAGAGAGAGAGAGAGAGACAGAGAGTCTACGATACTTCTGGAGTCTGTAAATTTCACACAAATTCCTAGATAATATTGATAACAGCAAACTTGTATGGAACTTAGGTGTGTGTGTGTGTGTGTGTGTGTGTGTGTGTGTGGCGTGAATAGTTGAAGATGGAAGCAGTGTTGGTGGAGGCAGTGTTGGTGTAGGCAATGGTGATGAAGGAGGCAGTGTTGGCGAAAGAGGCAGTGTTGGTGAAGGAGGCAGGCAGTGTTGGTGAAGTAGGCAGTGTTGGTGAAGGACAGTGTTGGTGATAAAGTGAGAACAAGTAGAGACGGCCATGATGTTCCTACATGTACAGACTACAAACCTAATAATTTTATACACACGAGAGAGAACAAAAACAACAAACAAACAAACAAACACACAAACACCCATTAGATTTTTCCCTATATAAAAAAAACCAATACAAAAACACTCCTTTACCACATCTAAGGTATTTAATAATTAATAAAGTATGTAATTACGAAATCTTACACGTAATTTTAAAACGAAACACCTGTTGTAAATATTACCTTCGTTGTAACTTCATCCAAACCCTGGAATTAAATAGAAAATACATGCAATTATATTTTTAATGAGGATATTATGTTTAATTAATTATGAGAGACCTGTGTTATTACCGTCATTACCTGAGATGAGTTACAGGAGGTTGTCAAAATAAATGAGATGTAATGTCTCGATTCATAATGAGGTGAATTGTAGAAATGACTCACATGTACGGAGTCATATGCTACTCATGATGCTGTGAGTTGTAGAAATGACTCGCTAGGTATACGGAGTCAGGTGTGATTTATACAGTGACTCACATGCGACTCACCACCCAGTGACTCAGTACCCGGCTCACAAGACAGCGAATATTACTTAGTGAATATAGGAAACAGAAGAGGCTTAACACTGTTTATTAGAGCCTCAGTTAATGTGAGTCTTAGAAAGTCTTAACAGTCTCTCTCAAGTGGTCCAGTGCCATGTTATTGACCCAACCATGACCCACTCACAACCTGACCTCACAACCTGACCTCACAACCTGACTTCACAACTACTCACAATTTGACATCAACAACTTGACCTAATAACCAACTGTGACTTCATCTAATGACTTCTCGGACTTGTTACTTGGACTAAAGAAATTCCTGTTGTTATTTTGTGGACTTGTTACTCTGACTTGGAAATCCAATTCTGACTTATTAATCGGACTTAATTTTTTTTTTACTGGCTTTTTGGACTTGGTATTGACTTCGGAAATATGTATTTCCTTTCTTGACTCATTGGACTTGCTAACTCACTCGCTGATTCATTGGACTTGTTACTGACCCACTGACTGATTGGACTTGTTAACTGACTCACTGACTCATTGGACTTGCTTACTGACTCACGCGGCCAACACTCGGCGCTTCAGCTACACCAAAGAGTGTCTGTTTACTCTGCACAGGAAAAACTTACTGTGTCTTTTGAAACTCTCACTCTGGTCAAAACTCACATCATGGTCAAAACTCACACCATGGTCAAAACTCACACCATGGTCAAAACTCACACCATGGTCAAAACTCTCTGGTCAAAACCCTCACTAACTATACCTGACTTTCACTGTTCTTTTACGCTAATCAAATATTTTATTTTATTTTTTTTTTAATGTAGGATAGTAGTCATGGCAACCTTCAAAGATGCTTGACTTATCATGAAATTGTATGCCATTTGAAATTAACTATCCAGCTACCATTACATATTCTTCTGACTACTGGAGAAACTGTATTGATGATAAAACCAATAATATATTTTTTTTATTTCTACCAACCACGTCAATGTGTCCTTGATAAAGTCCCACTATAGTTTTTGTTATAAATATTTAGTCTCCTGTATCGTGTAGTTTGTATATGTCTTCCTAATTTATTATATGTCTGTGTTTGTGTCGTCACGAACAAGTCCTAAAGATACATACATAGTCTTATTGCAAAAGGAAATCACAATATATACGTGGATAGCATAATACATGGAACTCGTAAGGCAAAAATGGAGGGAATAATAGTTAAGCTTTCGGATTCATTTCAAGACATTTTCATCGTGGTTAGTATCAGTGAAGATGTCTTGAAATCTAGTTGAGTTCTTGGAGTTCCTATTTCTATTTTCTTTGTGAGTTTCATGTATTTAAATAGCGTTTTTGCTTGAGTCTTGTGTCTTTGACCCTCACAACTATCTCTTCATATTAGACTCCACTAACTTAGGTGTCTAACCAATCATTTCTCTTTGTTTTCTGATGCTGCTTCTTCAATCTCAGCCTTGAATGATGTGACAAAAATAATGTAACACTTTGTACTCCTGATCAACGTCATATAACTCATGTCTTCATTGTATTCATGTTCCTATTGTCCTCATGTCAAACTCCACCTCATGAGATGTTCAATATAGCATTTTTTTTATTTACTATTGCATTATCAGTCGTGAGAGATATATTATGTACAACTATATACCTTTGAGAATCCTTACGTCGCGTGGTTCTGGTCAAGAGTCTTATATCCTAGAGAGACGGAAGCCGACAGAAGCCAAGATTAGTTGTGTATTGTAAAATGAAACCTATGCTACTGAGTTGTCTGTGGCTGTCTGTGTTTTGTTGTGGTACAGACTGAGGACACCTTTCTATTGTCTGTGGCTGTCTGTGTTTTGTTGTTGTACAGACTGAGGACACCTTTCTATTGTCTGTGGCTGTCTGTGTTTTGTTGTGGTACAGACTGAGGACACCTTTCTATTGTCTGTGGCTGTCTGTGTTTTCTTGTGGTACAGACATCTGGCTGTTGTGTTCTTACCTTCTATGACACAAGAACTTAACTCTGGTGGAGACCCTGAATGTGTTTTTTTGTATTTTGTTTAGTGCCAAAGAGTTTCTTGGCGTTGTATAATATGTACAATTTTCTGTAAATAAAGACTGGAATAAATAATGTTCAACCTCAATATAACCTTCATCCTAACACCTGTTTTCAGTACTAGTAGTAGTAGTACTAGTAGTAGTAGTAGTAGTAGTAGTAGTAGTAGTAGTAGTAGTAGTAGAATATAATATTAAGCTAATAAAATGGTGGCGAAGGTGTGGCTAATGGGGGAGGCTGGAGGCCACGTTTAAAAAAAAAGTAGTGGTTGTAGTTGTAGTAGAAGTAGCAGTAGTAGTAGTAGCAGCACTAATAATAATAGCCATAGAAACAGTAGTAATAGCAGTAGTTGTTGCATATAATTTCACGTTACGATATTTTATTCCTTGTTCAGAAATAAATAATAAACCAAGATTATAATTTCTTCATTAAAATAATACCCACAGGTCCTTACCCACACACCTCATTCTTATTCCTACACCAGTAATTACGTCTCTCCCTTCCACCTCCATTTTAGCAGACAAAATACTCAACATTACCCTCACAAAACTTACAATAGTCTGTGTAGTTAACTTTTAAAAACCTCTCTTCCCCCCTAATTATCCAACTGCCTGAGGAAAATACACAGTAGCCTTGTAACACCAAACCTTTGTGTCGTGAATATATACATTGAACAAGTAATAATACGTTAGTTATTGGTTAATTTTGTAAGCGTTTGTGGCATCTGCATACAGGAGTTAGTTAGTCTGGTCGTGTTTAGGGTGGTTTTTTTTTAAGCTTAGGATGGCCACTCAGCGAGCCTTAGTTGACGTGTACCTGTATGGCTTATAGTTTAAGTCACTGAATCATTGTGAATATTGGTTAAGTGATCTGATTATGTTTATGTGTGTGCTGGTGATCAGTATAATTTATGTTGGGTCACTCAAGAATCTTTATAAGTATGTTGATCATTAAGTGAGCATTATATTCCCGAGTATATTAAGCACTCAGCAAAGATCATGCTTAAATTGGCCACTCAGGAAACATTATACTCATGTTAGCCACTCAGGAAGCATTATACTCATGTTAGCCACTCAGGAAGCATTATTCTCATGGTGGCCACTCAGGAAGCTGTGAGTACATTGGTTTAACAAACAGCTAGTGTTTATGTTTTCGTTCATTAGTGGAGCTCATTGTTACCTTGCTATTGTTTGCTTGTGTTGTGTTTATACCTCCGCAGTTATCAGGTAGGTACACCTTACGCCCAGGCTGCTCTATAAAAAATAATTACTGCGTGTAATGACTCAGTTTATTTACTGTGCTGCAGTCAGTTACCATCATTAACCTCCCTCTTAATTGTTCATTCTTAAGTAATACTATTTTCTGCTTCATACAAGATCCTTCATATTTTTATGTATTTTTACTGAAAGATTTATGTACACGCACGCGCAGTATATACATGTGTGTGTGTGTGTGTGTGTGTGTGTGTGTGTGTGTGTGTGTGTGTGTAAAGACAGACAGGTAAATTACATATACACTAGGTATTATAGAAACGATGGTCAACCTCATTAGAGAATGTTACAGGTATAACAAGGTAATTACACACAAGTTACATTTATACGACAAAGAGGATCCAGATGTAATTCTTCATCACCCGGAAATGTGGTGAGTTATTACCTCTAGTATTTTACACAAACAATAACAATAATAACTCACTGTTCTCAGGAGGGTGAGTGGTGGTGGCAGGGCAGTAAGATGATGTAATATTAAGGACAAAATTAATACATTATCTATTACAATTACATAACAATAACAGAACCATCAATAACACTAAGAATATCAATAACACACACACACACACACACACACACCATTAAGATACTCCAATAACAAAAACAATTTCCAGGTATTAGAAGTAAATGACAACAACAACAACAAAAACGAAATATTACTGCATAAAAAGCCTGACAAAACGACTTAATGGCTAACTAACACGAAGAGCCAATTGGAACTCGTCTAGGGTGACATTAAAAGAGTAGAGGCGTCATTGAAATAAACAAATTATATAACATTTATCTACCATAAATAACTCTCTACAAAAGGTAAATCATTCCTGTAAATAATCCCCCCCCCCCAAAAAAAAAAATAAATAAAAAAAATATTTACCATTCAGTTAACACGAAAACAAATCCATTTTTATTACACTCGTCTAGCGTGAGATGCTAAGTGTAGCGACGGCGCAAATTATAAACCAAACACAGCGAGTCAACCTTATGGCAACATCAACCAGGGATCATAATAGGTGGTGTTTTTTTTTTATATGAGTGAGAGCCACTAGTGGAGGGCGTCATTGTATACAGTATATATATTTAGTTTATTTACTTTGCCACAATTGCACGTTGAAGGTGACCTGCCATTCTGAAAACGATTGAAAGTTGATGATGAATTAAGTTATAGAGATTGGGATAGTGTGTGTGTGTGTGTGTGTGTGTGTGTGTGTGTGGCTTGCTCCCTACCTCCCTCTCTCTCCTTTTGTTCCCTCCCTCACTCCCTCAGTCCTACTTTCCTTCTCTCTCTCCCTCTATCTGTCCTTTCTTCCCTCTTTACCTCAGTCTCTCATTCCCTCCCTTCATTCTTTCCTCATTCCCTTCCTTCCTCCCTCTCTGCCCTTCCTCCTTCCCTCACTCATTCTCCCTACTTCCTTCTATCCGCCCTTCCTTTTCCATCATCCCACACTATCTACCCTCATCCCCTTCCTCCCACCTCCCCTCCCTCCCTCCCTCCCTCCCCCCTCTCCCTCCGTGTAAGTCTGCGATAACACAAATAAACGAGGTCATTTATGCTTCTACTTTTGTTACTGGTAGGCAGCTCCTTGATGACCTTACTCTCATCACTGTACCTGGGGGGAGGGGGGGGAGATGTCTTACGATAGAGAGAGAGAGAGAGGGATTATGTGGGGAGAGAAGAAACGGGGAGAGAAAAGTTAGCAAGGAGGGAGGAGGCGTTGACTACCTGGTGCTACGTTCTAATTAGTATACCTGTGGGAGGGGGACCAGCTAATAACTTGTTCTCTACTAGGGAGACAGACAGACAGACAGACAGACAGACAGAAAGGATCAAAGAGAGAAAGAGAAAATCAAATTATTAATGAAAGTTACAAAAACAAAACCCGATCGATTTGTTTGATAATAAAAGACTCGTAAGGAACATTAAAATAGTACATAAAGATGATATAATATAACAACTTTGATCATATATTAAATTCAATAACAAAAACTATCTCATATAAAACCCTATCACTACACATAGGAACTCAGACGACCTCAGAAAACACTAATATCACCTATTATCATCTTCACTATAATACACAAAGCTAAAAGTAAAATAAAATGATTAAAACATGACACAGAAAGATAATTAGAACACTAGACAATAATAATAATGTCTTGTATACATCGTGTCCCGGATTCAAACGAGTGTAAAACAGTAGTAAGGTTGTTGGGTCGTTTAGCGTGTGTGTGTCACCCTAACGATGTGTAGATCCGAGAAGCCAACTTGCCAAGCAGTATTTGTTGGTTGGTGTGAGGGAGAGGGTGATGGTGGTGATGGTGGTGATGATAGTAGTACTGGTGATGGTGTTTAGTGGTGGTGATAGTGGTGAACTCTGTAACCATATTCTATAAAGACCATTTAGCTGTGAGATCAAAAAATTTACAATATGGATCTTTCAGTGTGTAAGGTGTCTGTCCATAGATTGAATCACCATGCGGCTACACCTGTAATAAACTTATCAGCCAACACCACATCTAACCTAATCTAACCCACGAGGTAAAAGAAGCCGTCTGTATCGCAGAGGAACTTCGCCATGGTAAGCTTACGTTTATAAATTATTTGAATTTTGGTGAATTAATTTATTTTTTCTCAGTAAATTTAAATGACTTGTATTAGGGGAATTTGTCCGTGGTTGGTAACTTTTTGTCCGTGGTTGGTAACTTTTCGTCCATGGCTAGTAACTTTTCGTCCATGGCTAGTGTTAAGGTAATTGTTAGTCTTTAGGTGAAATAAGCTAGGGTAGAGAGTCTTCAGGTGATCCCTAAAACCGTCCCTTTAATTGTTTCTTTAGAGTGAGGGCTAAATATACACACTGAACATTAAAAATAAAAAAAAATAAATAAAAATACTTAGCAATAAAAAAGCAAAGAAAACTAAAAAAAAAAATATATTAATCAAGAAAAAATCCGCTAAAAATAATAAAAATCGATAAGAAAATGACTTAGACACATTGAAGGAGTAACTAAGAATAAAAACAAAATCTCGGGGTCGAATAAATCGGTCTTGGCGGGGTTCGGAGCGTCGTGCGGCAGGTATCGTCATAATGTCGGGTTTAGCAGCTGTCGATCACCATTAATAATTTCCTCATCAGGGTCTTACACATGGTATAGCAACTTTCCCGCTAATTCTCACAGATTAATGCACATAAATACGACCATGGCCTGATGTACGGTGTCTCTAGCCGGTTCTCAGCGTGGAATAAAGAAAGAAAATAGAATACACTCGCTAAGCCGTGTTTGTTGACCTAAGCGACTAGCGGGCGGATAGGTGTTGTTCTCTCCCTAGCTGAATGTGGGTGAATGTTAGTTTGTGTACAAGGAGGGTACACAGGTGATAGGGATGAGTACCATTAATACCAGGAACTTCATGTGGCGTATTAGGAGCAGCGTCAGGTGAATGAACTGAGGTTAGGGGAGTCCTGGGTTGGTATCAGGGTCACCAAAAGTACCAGGATGGAAAGTGGAGGTCAAAGGAGGGCTAGAAAGAGCAACACTTCTCGGATTTTCCTTCGCCTTCTGTGGTGAGGAACGGCTCACCTTCACTGTATGTAATGAAGAACGGCTTCCCCTCACCATGAGTGATGAGGAACGTGTAGCAGGTCACGTGAGAGCCGTGCATGAGGCGGCCGTGGTGGCAGCGCTTAACGTGATTAATAGCTGACAGGGGCGTGATAGCACCTGTGGACCATCATATAAGAATTAACACGGCGGGGACCAGGTAGGGAGTAGGTGCTAATGGGTGTTAGTCAGCAGTGCAGCAGTAGG